TGCCCAGGGAGATTGTTAAAAATTATGCTAGGCGGCGTAACCATAGAATTAGTAACACTATTTTGTTGATCGTAAGTATGAACAGTACCCAAAAATAAACAAAGAAGAAAATTCATCGTCAGACAAGTTCTTAGTTTATTTATTAAGTTTACAGTTTTGATCTGAGACACTTGTAATCTGTTGTAAACTCTATCACCCCTGTTCATTGCTCTGTTGCTGTAGAACTTGGGGGACCTGGTTTCGGATCTCAAGGCATTTGTATTGTTATGTTTTCGTAACAACCAAACATTATGAAAAAATTACATTAAATGAATCAGCATCACAAAGAAACACCAAACGCTGTATGAGTTATAGACCTATAGTACTCATACAGTTAACATTTTCTTCCCCCAAAGAATGAGGTTTTAGTTAATTACGAAGCCTTGCATTTTGCCACTTTAGGCACATCAACAGGAAATTGATCTATCTCATCAATCCAAGGGTTCTGCTCTTTAGCTGGATTAACAGTCCTCAAAGCCCTCCACACAGCACTGTTACACTTGAAACCCGACCCGAACGCAATCTGCCACATCCTATCACCCCTCCTCACTCTTCCCTTGGCCTCAGAGTAAGCCAGTTCATACCACAAAGAGCTGCTTGAAGTGTTCCCAAACCTATAAAGTGTCATTCTCGAAGGCTCCATGTGCCAGTCACTGAGCTCAAGGTTCTTCTCCATCTCATCCAGCACTGCTCTCCCACCAGCATGAATGCAGAAGTGTTCGAACGCCAGCTTGAAATCCGGGATGTAGGGTTTGATATTCTTCATCTTGAACACCTTTCTTGCCACCAAAGTAACAAAGAAGAGGAGTTGCTCTGACATGGGTAGGACTATTGGGCCAAGTGTGGTGATGTTGGTTTTAAGGGCTTCTCCAGCAACAGCCATCAAGTCTTTTGAGAGAGCAACACCGACTCTTTTTGTGTCATCTTCCTTTTGGAAAACACAGCTGTATGCTTTGTCATCTGAACCTTTATGGGTGCGGACAGTATGCATGAGTTGGTACTTTGAGCGGCGGCGGTCAGAGGAACGGTTGGAGAGGAGGATGGCAGCACCGCCCAATCGGAAGAGGCAGTTGGAGAGAAGCATTGAGCGGTCATTGCCGAAGTACCAATTGAGGGTGATGTTCTCCATGCTTACCACTAGGGCATAAGAGTTTGGGTGCACCTGTTACACAACATGCCTTCTACATCAGTTTAGGTTGCAAACAAATGACATACTTTAGACATGATTTGATCTAATTTACAATTTTGATTTTAATCTATATAAATATGAAGATACGTAAAAGGTAGGCCAGGAAAATTAAATCCTTGTGTTTACTTTTGTGTATATTTCAGTTGCAAGTCCATTAATTATCTATTTATGATGCCAATTGCACACCAAAACGTCCTTTTAATGACATCCCATGTACCAGCTGGACATGTGGGCAAGTTGTGCACCCCAACTTTAAAAAAATGGTTCAAATGTTGGTTGTTACATGTATAACATTTACTACCACATTTAGAGCACTTCAACCAATTACTGTTCACGTCAATAGTATCTGCTCTAGCAATATTTTTGTTGCTTTTCCACCCATTATCATGACAACTCAAGAGCAATTACTATTCACATAGGATTAATTTTATTTATATGTATGAGATCAATAATAATAATAATAAAATTACTAGATATGTATAGAAAAAAATATTCTGAATTTTTTGGTAATATTTCATATTTCATAATTTTTTTCAATTACTATTCTTATGTTCTTTAATATATTAAAAGATTGTATTTGATACTTGACGATATTTTGTTAGTATTTAGTTGATATTTCTAAGATAACCTAATTATCCATTGTAATTAAACTAAACAAATATTTTATTTTTAATTAACGAATAAATAAATAGCAAAGGCCACAAATAACAAACCTGGAGAAGCTGTTTGGCAAGGTCGATAGAAATAAGGCCAGCACTGCAACCCATCCCACCAAGATTGTAGCTCACAATATTCCCTCTAAGCTTGTAGTGATTCACAACCATGGCGGACAAAGACGGCGTCGGATTGAACAAGCTGCAGTTCACCACCAAAATCCCAATATCCTTAGGCTTCACCCCAGTCTTCTCCAGCAACTCGTCAATGGCACCAAACATCACCATTTCCGCCTCCTTCCTCGCCTCGTCCATACACGGGTTCGGCGGGAC